AATTAAAATTTGTGTTAATTCTATTTCACAACAATTGACTTTAACTCCTCGTGAGGCAAATTTGTCCTCTTTGACAAAGAACACATCCAAAAGCTAAGCCACACAATTGCCGTAACACTGAGCAGGTCAATGTTGATGTCATCACTTCCAACTGGTTCCTTCCCTTGGCAAAGTCCACCTGCGTCGCTGCGGGCCCAGGAACCAGTTGTCTCGGAAGGAAGTCAACCGGTCTATCTGCGATCCTTCTAATTAAAACTACATCACATTAATTTGCAAATTTGTCACAGGTCGGGAAACATGCAATTTTTATAATTTTACCTTGGTGTTGACCGAACAGCCAGCAAGGTTAAGCTGCTTGTTGAGAATAGTTGAATTTTGTAACTAAAACAACGTGATGCGATTGGTCTCGTAGCTGTTTGAGAGTGCAATTTATTTTGTACCGTTGAAACGTTGTCCAATCCAGTTTCAAAATCATTATTTTACGCTGAGATACAGTCGGTGTATATGAACAAAAGATTAATGAATTAAATAGGAAGTAATAAAAAAACTGCTTGACTTTAGTAACTCTTCGGAACCATTTATTTTAACCAAGGTCATAGGACATTGCTTGAAACATATTGGTTATACGAAAAGGTAAACTCACTCATAACGTGATTTACAGAATAGTTTTCCTATCGTTACCAAGCCAGAGCTCCTGATTGTGTAGTCAAGCCGTTTGACTCAAACCCTTGAATGAAGGTAAAGGGCAGCCATCACTATTCGACTTGTCAGAATCCCATAGCCACATCAATGTCGCGAGAACTATTGTTGCACTTTTCCCGATCAGCTGTTCCCGATCAGCTGTTCCCACCTCGGTCGGAAGCTGTGGTGGTCCCTGACGATGTCTAATCGCCGAAAGATTTGTAGGACTCAAGACACCACCATCAATCACAGTTATAGCTCCCTCGCTACCGACAAACTATTAATTACACGCCAAAGATGGCCGCTGATTCGCATCGCTCGCACCAATTAGACAGTTATTTATTCACGGATATGATTGTTTTATTGTCGGCGGCCCGTTAGCTCCTATACAAATGGCGGTGTAGTTACAGAACCGCCCGTCATTCGGTGTTCATCAGCTGTTATTTACCCGCCAAAGAGTGCCGCTGGAGCGGTGTATTTGGCGGGAGTTGTGGCTTGTTCGTTCAGCACTGTATTTACATTGATGGTTCAGTTATGCCGCTAAGGAATGGAGTAAAAAATGGTTTTAATTGAATTTGAACAAAACAGTATAAAGTGTATGACAAGCTAACCTGACTTAATATTACACTTTTATTTGAGCAACCAATACAAAAATAAATAAATATATAAACAAAAAAATTTACAAGATCCATACAGTAAGTCTTGAAAGGTAATAGCTGAACATGGATTGTCAAATATTTGTGCAGTCTATATTGAATATTGCTACTGTACATTAATTTAAAAATAAATTTACACTTTTTAACGGTTCACATGCATGAGGGTAGACGATTAAAACATTTCACTTGTCTTCGTAAATCATATTCTACAAGTTATATAAAATTAATTACATAAATTAAAATTATTATCTACCCCTATTTTTCAAATTTGGTCAAACCCACATCAACATTTATCTTGTAATAACATGAGTAACTTTCGAAAATATCCCCAGCTGCTCTTTTGGCTATTGACCAATTTCAAAACAAAGTAGAAAACGCCCGCAGGACAAAACTGGTTTGAAGTTCCAATCGTTAACCCTCATCTTCAGCGGAAATATTGTAATACATCGCAATTGTCAGTCTAGTAATTGTGGTACGTGTCAAAAATGATCAAAGATTGTTAAAATCCATTGATGAATTAAGTTATATTTTGTTATATTATTTAAATTAGCTTAAAGCACGGTGCAGGGAGAAGATAAAAGGTTTATAATTAAAAGGGCAAAGCGTGCTTTTATCCTTGCTTGGATTGAAAACTTGTCTTCACTTCGTTCAGATAGTTTTGACCTCCAATTACTGAAGGCCCTTTTGATTATGCATGCCCTGTTTCATGATATGTAGTGAAATAACATTTTAAAATAAAAATCCTCCGGTCAAAACGTTGGAGAAAATTCATAACGGACATCACAACCTAATCACCAATTTATAAATAGAACAACCGTTGAAACAAACCGTTACCGAGAGAAATTACCGTCCAATCCGGAAGAGCTGAGATTATCTAAAAAATATTAAAAGAGGAAACTCGTACGAAGACCGAATGTGAAAACATAATTGGCGCTGAGTACGAGTAGTTTTTACTCGGTGCAGGCAATTATGAAGCGGTTGTCATTAGAAGACATTAGTACAAGGACAATTAGACCAGACTAACGACAGCTAATCGTCAAGTCGGACTGACGTCTAAACGACGTGCAATGATGTCAATTGCACCTTCTGATTGAATTTATTGCATTGTCGGTCTCTTTATTAGATCTATCATTGATTTCAGCGTAACGACTTTCTAATTCTGGATAGAGCGAGTTAACTCTCGTTAATGAGCTGCAGTGTCCTGTTGTGATGATCGTTAAGAAGTGTGGTCTACAAGTAATCTGCGATGGTTTATAATTCGGGATGCTGTACTTGTAGCGGATTATTTTCAAGCCAAGAGATCATTATGAAGATGGTGGATTCCAATTCGTTAACACTTTTGGGGATAATATTCCTTTTCAATCCTTATATGAATTTTGATCACCAAATTGTTTATTCTTTGCAACTTGTAAAGCATCAACCTTGAAATTTCACATACTTTTTACAACACAACCCCTTCTTTCTTGCCAACTTCTTGTTGAGCATGCCTACTTCTTCTAATAAACTAACACCGGATAATTTTGAAATATTAATAAAAAAAACAATTCTCTCTGTTATAGAACTCATAACTAGTTTAAGCCTTAAGTAGTTTTCAGCAGCCCTATCTCTTAATCCTTCCACTTAATTCCTTTTCCACCTTAATTCCTTTATACCGTGAATTGTTGATTCAATTAACTTATACTTCTTCTAATATATTTTGTCTCCAATTTCGTAAAGATAGGTGGATTCCTTATATTACTTAGACTTTAAATTTCTTAAGACCCCAAAATCCAGCTATTCGTCATTGGGGTTTATATAAATAAACGCCAAACGGAATCTTAGTCGGTAAAGAGGCTGCATAGGTAATCTCACTACTTTTTGCTCTCTCGTTGCATTCATATTCACTTTTAGGATAATCTGTACAAAGTACATTGATTTAAGATCAGGGAGAGCAGAGGTAAACGTAATTTCAACCCATCGTTAACTTAATAAGTGGCCAAACCAAAACTAAGCATTCATTTGTCCGATTTTCTTGAATAAGTCTGTGTGAAAGCATAGCTTGTTCAAAGATTTTTCAGAAGTTCAGATATAACAGAGATATGCAGCAAATGTAAATCCAACTCATTGTCAGATTGAATCAAACAATGACCACACATCAACTTAGCAGGCTGATGGTAAAAAATCCATCAGTAGTTGTTTAAGATTTTTCAAAAGACCAGACATCTAAGAGTCAAACGTGTTCCCAACCCATTGTAAACGTAAATTAATCAAGATCCAAACTCCCACTAATACGTTTTATCATTCAAAGAAACCCAAGTAGATATACAACATAATTTCCAGAGAATCAAAGATAGCAAGTTTTGGTGGAAACAGTGTCTAAACGCCAACCAAACAATTACCCTATTCACATGATTAACAAGGCCAGAAGCTGAGTGTTCTCATAGATTTGTCAGCTCAGTGAGTGGCTAGTGACAGCCCGGGTGAGTGTTGCAACCTAAACTCCAATTAGAACTAATTGTCAGAAGGGCAGGGATTAGTCGATTAGTTGGTGATTGGGGCAGTAGATGATTTACAGACAACATGGCTGCCCCACTGATCGGTGACGTCGAGTTACCTGCAGTATTTGGTTTGTCAATGACATGAGTCGGTGCTTGTTGATATCAATAGTTCCGGAGAAAATTGATAGCGGAAATTACTTAATGTGATCAAACGAATGAAAAAATTGTCTTTGCTATCAAGCTATACTTGGTGTATCCCTGTGTTGTATCACAGAAAACGTACTTTTCTGTGGTTGTATAGAATTAGGCCTACTCTGCATGGTATAAATCGTCAGTAAAAGCCACTTAAAAATATAGTTTTAATCTAGTCAAAACGAAGCACAATGTGGCTTCTGCCTTTCAACTCATATGCATTTAAGAACTTTGGTGCTGTTTGGAGGTTCGTTGTACAATGCAGGATCGAAATACTTGAATGCCCTTTTCCCATCCTCTTGATCGTTGTTTGACCCCTTAGAGAAAAATATCATGCTTTTTAACATTGACAGCAGTGTGGTCCATACTCTTGACGTTGCATCTCTGGGAAGCAATGCAGAAAGTCCATTTCAGAGGTCCATGTTCACGATCGCTCAGGCAGAAAATAAATCGAAAGCATTGACTAACTATCAAACGATTGACTAGAATAATTGCTCAAGGCAGTGCCAATTGCAATTCGTACAGGGTAAATAATATTACAGCTTAAATTTACAGACTTAGCTGCTTTCGAAGTCAAGAAATATCTTCCTATCCTATTCCATAATGGATATATTTATAAACTGTACCAACTCAACAACAGCGTTATGATTGTCACTCTTAACCACCAACAATCTTAGTGCTCAAATGTTGTCATCTTCAATCGTATGTCATTTCAAAACCCTCATATAAAGCTCTCAAACTTTCTTCACTGTCATTGCCTTTTAACTAACCCATCTCTCAGAAATCTTTCCCTATTTCATGCTCATTTTCACCACAGCAAACGTTTCCCTTACCATCGTCCTTGAACCAACTCATTCCTTGAGGCACAGACAAGGGAAACAAAACTTGTATTTCCTTAGTCAATGCTTGAGGTGACCTTCTTCATCAGATCACCCAACCTCTTTAACAACTCCCAAATATTTACCACTGTCTTAACAATACCCGTATGTTGCAGGGAGGAACTAGCGATGAAGATAGGGCTGACGGAGGCCAGGATCCAAGTAAGTCCTACATTACACTAATTGATACTGGTACAGTCCCTAATGGCGGCCTAATTAGCCCGTCAGGATGTGGCAAATTGATACTTGCGCCCTCGTCCGGTCCTGTCCTTTTTCGTACTGTGTAATGTTAATTAATCGCACTCATTACTATATTCAGACAGACCTTGGCTTGGTGGCACTCCTTGGTCACTGATGTTTATCATGGTGTTGATTCCTCTGTTTAAAAATTTGAAATATTTTCCGGCTAGCGTTGATCACATTACTTTGGTAAATACGCGTTGATGGTTGTAATTTAATTTTGATGCAGTCTTTCTTCACACAAGATTGAGATTGTGACCGGTATTCCTGCTGTTTGTGTTCCAAAAATATCAGTAAAATAATATATAGTAAAACAATTATTGTGAAAGGTGATGATATTAGATTACCTCACTACCTCATCCTTTGCTTTGGAGCCTCTAGCTAGATGACTGCAGAAACTTTGTATAAGAAGACGTTGCGTAATAGTGGAATTAGAGTCATTAACATTCCAAACAACTGCTTCTGAAGAAGCAATTCTTTATAATTTGTTGATTGACATTTAACTTCACCCATTACAAGTTAACCTTTTGTCGGATACAATTACTGTAATAATTTACTCATTACATGATAACCAATATTTTTCTTTTGTAGTAGAATAATGTACACATATCGATGTCTTTAGGTCAGCGCTCTTAAAAAAAAGGATGTTTGTGTGATATTGCTTTGCATCGTTAAGAAATCATTTATTCGCTTGGGAAAATTAGTTTCTTATAAGTTTGTTTGTTATATTGTGCACAAATACTTAGCTTAAGTAGTAAATTATGTAAATTAAAATTGAGCGCAACAACAAACTTTACAAAATTCCATGTCTTAATTTTTAAGGTCCATATTTTAATTTTTATACACTGTTGCGATGCATAGTAGGAAAAGTATTTACGATTATAAATTTAAATGTTGAGGTAATAATATGGACAACCTACTGCAGCTATGAGTGGGAAAAATTCTTAGAAAACACTAAGAAACAAGATATTTACAAGAAATGTTGATTTATTCGGACTGTTATAACGTCGTGAGTATAATAAACTTTGAGTCGACTCTTTTAAAGTCATCGGAAATTATGACTGTTATTCTGTCCTGCAAGTTCAACAAAACTTGCAGCATGTTCTTCACACGACCGCCACCTTGTGGAGCAAGAACAACCTCCAGGAAATGTTTACAGAGTTCTCAGGACTTTACTCAATTTCTGGATTTGTTTTCCGACGCAAAAACACTCCGATTATCGCCATACCGCGTTGCGTGCGTCGCTGGAACGTTGATGAACTTGACTAATTAGATTTGCCGTCCATCCGACGTCTGTGGTGGCAGCGACATGCCGAGAGGGAAAAACTTTTATTGGTGCGCTACTGTCAGGATTGCAGCGGGGTTCTTGTACTGCACTAGACCACTCGCCTTCAATGTCCTTGTTCATAGAGTGATGCAACTTGTTGAAACGATCAAATGATAGCACTAGGCATTTCAACTTTCAACGTCCTTTCACTAAGAAACTCATCTTTTAATGTAAGTGATCATTTATAAGTGAAGCGGTATTAAGGGATCGCCCTTGAAACAATAAAATGATGCAGCGACATGAAGATCACGTTTCTATGTCCTTGCTCACATAAGTGATCGAACTCCTTGAAATTAGTCCTAGGCAACTCACTTTTCAGCGTCCTTGCTAATTTAAAAGTGATCTCAATCCAAACGGTAACATAATTTGTTAGCTGAGTGGTTAGTGCTCGTATAGTGACCAAGCACGGTTCAGGTAAAATATTATTTTGATAGTTTTAATCTGGACATAGGTGCTTTTGATCATCGAGATTTTATAAATTACCCTGGCTAAAAACAGTTCATCGTTGTCATCAAGAGAGCTACTCTCTTCACTCTTACATCATTCATTATACACACCCTTCATATTCAGCTTGTACTTAAATCAAGATATCTTTATAAAAACTAGTGTATCAAAGGATTTGTTAGAAGATCAGGGAAAGGAGAGGTAAATAGTTAATCCCATCAACTTAGATCAACCAAGGTCCAAACGGAAACTTGAACCAGCCGTTCTTGGCGGGTTTTCAATAATAATTGGCACTGGCTAAAGAAACAGGTGATCTTAGGTCGTCATGACGCTACACAGGCCATCTCACTATTACACACTCATATTTGGCTGAAAAATATACTAAGTACGCCACTGAACTGAAGAAGATAGTGGTGTGGGAACATTTAGTACAAATCTGCCTCCAGACTTCTGTCTACCGTAGTCTCGACCGCAATACCATTGAACCCGGACAACAGTAATCTAAGCAATAAAATTCCGGACCAGAAGTGAGTGTTTTTGACAGGAGTTGTAGCTAGTCTACCTACCACGCGCACCCACATTAGGCTCTCTTAGGGTTTAATTGATTTGATATGTGTTTCCGAGTTAATGGGTTAGCGTGCATTAGTAATCTGGCCCCACTCCGGCTCTGATAGGCGGCGCCGGCGCACAGCGCTCAGTCTAGCGCCGTCGTGGTCCGTGGTCGCTGAAACTTGGACAGCTGTTGACGTAAACAACTGTTGGAGGAGATGATATTTTACTTGATAGTGAACACAAACTCTTGCAACCCATCTTGTAGGATTTTAAATCGCATTAGTTCACTAGGAGCAAAAGTGGCTCTTTTTAGTAGGCAATCGAGTTTTACACCCTCGCTTGGAAATACGATTAAGTACCAAAAAGCACTTTCGTTCCGTTTGATGAACAACTATTTTCATCATACTGCGGAAATAACCTTCTAATCGTTACAAAATTAGACCACATAATTTGGATGTTATACAAAGTCATCATCAATGTTTACATTTCTGTTGTTTACAAACAAAACTTAAAAATAACGTGTGCTTAACAACATAATGTACCAAAAACCAATTTCCATTACACTGTCTCAAAAACAGCTGTCTCACGGATCGTTTTGAGTCCCTAAAGATAGCTTTTTGCGGACTTTACGGACTCGAATCATATGGTTATGTCAAAGCTTAACTCATAAACAAATCAGCTGTTCTGATCCTTTAAAATGCTTCAACGATATATAAACAAACTTTGTTTGTTTCTTACATAACCTAATTTTAACCTAAATTAGGTTTTGGTGATATTATATATTTTCTGCTATAATATATGACAATGTAATGAAAAATATTGTTTGTAACTCGTCCTAAAATGCTTTTTTGTGACTTAATCGAATTTCCGAAGCCTCGTCCGTTAAACACGATGTCGTCCAAAAAAAAACCTACTTTAGAGACTAGTAACTAAAACTACTATTTGGTGTTAGCGAACAGAAAAAATTACTATATGTTTTTTCTGTTCCCTATTTGAAGTTACCCGAAAACTATGACTTTGTGGACGATTTAGAGAACTAAAAGCGGCTTTGTTTCGGACAGTATGGTGAAAAATTCTGCTGATTTCTCACGTATGGGCTCCAAGGACCTTTTTAACAGTACAGTAGGCCTATAAAGTAACTTTTTGGTAAAGCAACTACTGTATAATATTCAATATTTTCTAATAAGAGCGTAACCAACAGATAATACTTTAACTCTTTCATGCTTCAGCACATTTTGTTCAACACTCTTATTCATAGCATATTCGGTAACATTCGCTACTTACTGAAATTTGAATTCGTGTGAAAAAGTTAAATAAATTTTTCTGTTAAATTCGTATTGACTTTCCCTACGCTGTTGGTATTATTTTACATTTCTGTAGGAAAGTGTTCCTAACTCCTATCTACTCGTTATGTCATGTCAAATTGATATACCAAAGAAATATCATCTGAATCATAATTTGACCCCACTTTGATCGGACCAGCAACCTTCACATTTCAAAGTAAGTACTAAAACCACTAGGCTACCCAGACAATTATTGCAGTTAGAAAAATGTTTGAAGAAAACTTGTTACAGCTCTTAAGTGTCTACAAGGTTTTGGGGTTGTATTATCCTCGCCACCCTAACTTGAGGCCGCACGCCGTATTTCTAGTGCGGCCTTTGGCTGCCTCAAGTTAGGGTGGCGAGGTTAGTGAGGAACAAAATAATCGGAAGATAACGTGAAATTATCGGCTTAATCTGATTTTATGGCATGTTAGCTAAAGCGTTGATTACTGCCCTTTTTTACTCTACGTTTCCTCAGATGGTCTCCAAAGTTCTTGGCCATGGCCATTGCCCCTTCCCCGGGTGTTCTTGGACCATGGAAATTACCAAAACATTCACACGGCTCCACGTATGTTCCTGGAACCTCTGCCCCAGCGGCGGTGTTTATACAAGTAAATGGAGCCATTACACAATTACCTCCCAAGTAATATTGATTATCCTCATTTGATTTTTCGCATAGTCGTTAGGAAAAGATAATTGTATAATTTCTTAAATACAGACTTCTGTTTTTTTAATCTTGTCGAAAGACTGGGTTTTTTTTTACTTGGAGATCTAAGAATTTATAAGAATTTGTATATAGTGGTTACGATGAAGACCGATAAGAATTTTAGATGTGTTACATTTTTGTTAGGTAGGTTAAAATGGATTAAATAGGTTAGGTCAGGTTTTAAATCCAACTCTATACTACACAAAGGTGATTTTAATCTAAGTTTATGTTCCAATTTAAATACAAATTTTCATGGTATGGTTTGATACAGGGTTCTCACATTTTCCTGCTCTATAAGTGCTGGTCAACTAGTCCCAGGTTTAATTCCGATTTTCACAACAGTGTTGTGGAAGACTTTGACTACTAATGTAACACTTGTGACTAAGTGACCAACTCCTAGGTCATTTGTCTCATTTGCCACCCAACCGTTCCAATACTGTTACCAATTGATCAACGGTTACCGGAGTAACGGCTCCATCCAACTCCCTAGTTCAGCCTCCAGGACAGCGACCTGGGAGACATATGGCGGCACCGGAAGTGGTTAGCAGTGGTCCCAAGGTGTCCTTGCAAT